TAATAGTGTTTGTAAATAGGATATCATGCCTGTATCTTGTACAGCAAATAACCACTAGGTAGAGAGTATGCAGTGTGTTAATTATTGGAACTGTCCTACCAATTCAATTTGAAACTGTCTCATTGCTATTTGTTTCTCAATAAAACTATGGAAAAAAAATTCAACACAAAGCCTTAATGTAGTTTGTTGCAAGTTTTAGTGAATCTAGATAAGTGAAATACATATGTAAAGAAATTGAAATAAGAAAGATAAACTATCCAGTCAGATTATTTTTGTTGTGCTTGGTTTTTTTCTGTGTATGGTAATAGTGACCATGGGCCTGAGAAAGGATGTCACTGAGAGAAGCTTCGCAGGGAGTTCTGAAATGTTGGTGTGTATGTGGGGGTGTGTTCTATATGCTTTTGTGTCACATGATGGCAGAGCCTTTGAAAGCAGTGTGCCTAGAGCTCCAGCTCTTGGGCTGCTAGATTGTGTTTATGGCTGCCTAGGACACTGCTAAAATGTTGAGTTTTTCCAATAAATAGTATTTCTCGAGTACCTGGTCTGAGCTAGACAGGAATATATATATCCTGTCAGTGTTTCCCAACAAAAACCCAATTTTGTCCCTTTCTTAGAGGTGAAAAAAGTGGTTTCAGAGAAGTTGTTTCAGGGACATCATTGGTATGTGACTAATCAGCAGTTCATTTCAGGGATGTCTAATTGCAAAGCCCATCCTCTTGACCAGCACATTACACAGCATCTACACTTAAAAATAATTAAAACAGAACCATCCTGACTATTCCAGGTTCTGTTCTTAAGCATTTGTAAAGATCAAAGTAGATAATCCTGATTATGGTCAGTGTGGACAGAGACATCTGCAAGTGAATACTATACACATTTAGATTATAGCATAAGACTAATAAATGACTGGAAGCCAAAATAGTTGTTACACAATCATTAGGGGTTTTTCATTTTTTATTTTTGTTTACTTGTTTTTGTTTTTGTTTTGGCAGAACTGGGGATTGAACTCAGGCCCTTGCGCTTGCCAGGGAAGTGCTTATTCTACTGAGCTATCTCCCCAGCTCCACGTTTGTTAGTCTTTTGAGACACGATCTTGCTACCTAGTTCAGGCTGGCCTCGACTCTCAACAGGTCTCTTACCTCAGCCTCCCTGGTGCTGTGATTATAGATGTGTGCCATCTCAGTACACAGGAGCTTCATGGAAATAAGATGATCCAGATAAAAGAGTCACACAAAAATAGAGATATGAGTTAGAGAATCAGATGAGGGATTAGGGGATCGTGGTTCAGTGTGTTCAGTTGCCACACCGCAATCAGTCAGTCACAAAATTTAAAAGAGAATCAGATAAACCAGGTTCAGGACAACCTGAAGTACATAGTGGAACCCTGTCTCAGAAACAAAGAACCAAATAAATGTATGATCTTTTAACATTCCAGATTTTTTTTTTTTTTTTTTTTTAAGGGAAGGGCCTACAGGGCGTTTAGGGTCTCACTACTAGATCAGACTCCTAGTGATCTGCCTGTTTACAGCCTCCCAAGAGCTGGGATTGTAGGCATGCCACCACACCCAGTCTCAGTTGTCTCAGCGCACCCTAGCTCAGGGATCCAACCCGGCCCCTGCGCCTGCTTGCAGGTGCTTTAATCTGCTGAGCTATTTGGCTGGCCCCTCCAGATTTTTTTAACGTGACTGGAACACATTGACTAGTGAACCTTTTTCTCTTACCCTCTTCTAGTACCAGGGATTGAATCCAGGGCCTTTGCACCAAGCTACATTCTCACCCTTTGGTTATTTTCTATCTTGAGACAGTCTTACAGAGTTAGTTGTCTTGTAGTCCTCCTGCCTCAGTCTCTCGGCACTGGGATTGTAGGCACTCCTAACCTTATTCATAAGGCGCCCCACCAATCACTAGCAACAGAAAAGTTTTGCTGTTTTTGGATAGTCTTAATTACAAAATATGGCCATCTGATTTATTTTATAACTGTTAACTCTCGTCTGTCTTCCCTAAAAATCAGCATATTATCATCAAATCTGAAGGGCCGGCCAAATAGCTCAGTGGATTAAAGTGCCTGCAAGCAGGCACAGGGATGGGGGTTCGATCCCCAGGCCTGTCATGTGGCCCCACCCCTGGGGTGCCCTGAGAGAGCAATTGAGACAGGGCATGGTGGCGTGTACCTGTAATCCCAGCTCTTGGGAGGCTATAAGCAGGCAGATCATTACGAGTCTGACCTAGTAGTGAGACCCTGAACACCCTGTAGGCCCTTCCCTAAAATACAAAAATAAATATTATCATTAAAACTGGATCGTCAGTGAATAGGTAGGAAGACATACAGTAATATCTGTCATTTAAGAGCCTACTTTCTAAGTGAGGTTCTTCATGCTTCAACTTCATTATCTCTGTATCTCACAGAATCTGCTCAAAATATATCATGTGATCTTTATTCTAAAATTAAACACCTGGATGTGGTGGTTCTTGCCTTTAATCCTAGCAGTCTGGGAAGCTGAGGTAGGAGAATGAAGGCTGAAGCCCAGCTGAATGACTGACGTAGTAAGACCTTGGCTCAAAATGAAAAATAGAAAAGGGGAGCTGGGGACATACCTCAGTGCAGAAGCTGAGGATAATTCCCCAGTACTTAGGGAGGAGGGGAAGAGAAAGCCCAAGGTATTCTGACGAGGCGCCTCATCCATGCCAAGTTCCTGTGCTCTTCCTTGTGTACCACACCACCGTCCTTAAGCCCAGGAATGGGCTCTCTGGATTTGATACTGACATTAACTTGAGAGCGACTGTACCAGATCTCATGTGCCAGAGTTTTTACAGTTCTGAGTTGGCAGAATGCCTGAGTTTCTGAAGACTTGAGGTTTGGAATCAGCATTAATTTGAACGCTTTATCAGAAGAAAATGAACTTTGAAATAGCTGTTTGGAAATAGGTTGGTGGTTCTAAGTTAGACCCAACCAGAGTTCTCCTTTTTTTCTCTTTCAAGGAAACTAAAGCATTTTTTAAAAAAGAAGAAGCTACTCTCGGTGTTACAGAGTTTATGCCAGAGTTTGAGCATAGGATTTAGGTTATCTTACTGCAAATCCAGTGGAGTCCACTACCTCACTGCTGTTCCTTCCTTCATACCTTTTAATGCTACTGTTAAATTTATGTGTATCTTTTCTCCATTATCCTTAAAATAATATATGGTCCCATCCCCCAAATAATTTTCTCATCAGTTATTAGTAATTATCCAGAAAATGATGGTTGAAATGTTTTCCTCCTCTACTTTCATGTTAAGTTCTTTTTTTTTTCCTGTCACTTTCAGAAACTAACCCTGCAGCATGTGAACAGTAATCAGTGCCTGGATAAAGCCACAGAAGAGGACAGCCAGGTGCCCAGCATTAGAGACTGCAATGGAAGCCGGTCCCAGCAGTGGCTTCTCCGAAACATCACCCTTCCAGAAATATTCTGAGACCAAATTTACAAAAAAAAAAAAAAAAAAACAATTGACTGGGCTACCTCAGCATACATTTCTGCCACATTCTTAAGTAGCAAGAAAGGAAAAGTGCTTTCCTCCTCTGCAGGATGTAGGTTATCAGCCATTAGAACGTGGGCTCCTCTAGCTTTTCATTAGCTGTGAACCAGCCTTCCTGTCCAGGGACGCGAAATTGCATAGTAGTGAGACTGCGCACACTGATGTTTACAAGGCTGAAAGAGTCTTTCATCCAGAGTTATGGGAAAGAATATCCAGACAACGGAACAGCATGCTTTCTGGAGAGCTGCACCTCAGAAGATTCGCTTGCATGTCAGCCACTTCTGCTGACTGTGCTGTCATAGTGAAGATGTTTCCAAGATTATTTTCCTGATTAGAGCTGGTAGCCAGTATATTAACTATTGATATACAAATAGATGAAAAGAACTGGAACCAGATTCACAATCATGAAAACATTTTTACAACAATTTTAAAAAAACTATATTAAACAGGGTTTAAAGAAAATTGCAACAGAACTATGAGAAGTACAATTTGTTATAGTATAGTATCAAATTTCTATATAGATTTTATACCTCAGTGGAGAAAATAACTGATTCCAATAACATTCATTTGCTTTCATCTGTGATAGTCATGGATACTTTTATTTTTCTTGGGGTGCTGAAAATGAGCTGAAAAAAGCTCTTTGAACACATTTAATTTCTACATTTTTTATTTGGTTTGTGGGCTATTGGAATTGTTAATTTTAATTGCCTTCTAAAATGGAGAATTGACATGGTGTCTGGTCTCAGCGGAACACATTAGGTATTTTCAGTTGCTCTTGGGTCAACTGCCTCTCTCTCTCTCTCTCTCTCTCTCTCTCTCTCTCTCTCTCCCCCTCTCTCTCCCCCCTCCCTCCCTCCCTCCCCCTCACACACACCACAGTTGTGCACACACACACATACCACAATTGCACACACCTCTCAACAGATTTCTTGCCCCATCAACTTAACTTGATTGAACAGATTATTCTTAAATACCCAGGATTCTTACTACTGTATTACAAATTTGTTTTCCTAGCAATAAATTTTTGGTTCTTTCTGATTCCACTTAAAAAAAGGCCTACAGAATCATTTTATTATTTGGGTATTTGGAGATAATATATTTGATGGGTTTTTTTGAAAACTTTTTCACTCCATACAGATGTACTTCATTGTCAAGTGCATACTTAGAGTTGATTCTTGAATTGTAATGATGATCTGCTGCTTTTTAAAAAATAAAATTTGACTGAAAATGTTCAATTGGCATTTTTTTACTGAGCTAGCCAAAGAAGTGCAGTTTCTTTTGCATATACCTAGTCCTGCATTTCTTCCCTAAATTATATTTAGATGAAATTGATTTTACTTTTGTCTGATTTTTAATTATTTTGGGTATCCATTAAAAGATGATATTGGTTAAAGGTCATTTTTAATCTCATAGAAGAAAAACCTCATTGTGACATTTTCTCCAATATGTAAAGCAATCCATTGTCAGAAGTACATATATTTTTTGTGCTATTGTATTTAATGGGAGTCTTTTCTTTGATTATAAAGTCTGTCACTGCAGGCAGTGCTGTTGTGCCTAAGAATGTTTCTGAAAGTTGTATCACTAATGATACTTGCCAGCTTGGGTGTACACAAAGTTTCTCATGTCCTTTTACTAAAAAGTTAATTTATATCAACTCCATGTGGATGTTGTAGGGTGAGACTAGAATACAGAAAGCATAAACTGTCCCCAGGAAATTTGAAGTGATGCAGGTGCTGGATGGAATTTTTTTCCTACTCCATAGCTGTGTTCAGTAGGCCTAATGCTTGAATAAATCAAATGTCTAACCAATAAATTATTTTCATGCTCAGAATTTCAGGGTTTTGTACTTCAGCATAGTTTGGTTTTATTCTTTACTGTAAGAAAGCTTAATAGCAATGTGATTTAAGGTTTTTTTGTTTTTTAAGGGGGGCATGGTTTAATTCAGGGGTACTTTTAGAACATGGTAGATAATCCCATTGCCTTTATTTTTCTAATTAAACTATTCCTAAATATTTTGAAAATATAAAATATTCCTGAATAGTTGTGCCTTACATTGGTTTTATTTGAAATTAAAACGGATCCCTTTTCATCGTATCAGTAGATTAGGTGCATGCTAATCTCTTGTAAAATCAAATTGGGGGGTGGGGAGCAAGGTATGAACACATAGGATTATTTGACCAGTGAAGAATTCATGTGACCATTAAAGATAATTTGAACCTCACAACTCTCTTCACTCCATTTCAGTCTCAGTCCATTTTAATACTGTTTGTCGTATTTGGAATTCTTGATACAACTTAGTTCATAATGCTGCAAATAGAAGACACATCACAGACCATGCCTTCATTTCCACGGTTCTCCATATAGCTGAAAAACAGGTTTCTGTTCAGAAGAATTTGTTGCTGTTTTCATCTTCCCAGAACTGTAGTAAAGGCAACTCCACTCCATAGTTAACATGTGCTTAAAAGGAGAAATACATCCAGAAGTGGTAACTTTGAAAGGTTGTCTGCAAAGGATGTGTCAGGGTTTGTGCTAATGGGACATGCAATCTGTTTCCAATTAGGTAACACTTTTTTCATTCCCTTGATTTTGTAAAGATTACTAAGCATTTGCTTGATAAATCTTATCAGCAGTATTTTTTTTTAGGATATGGGGCAAATACACAATAATTTATGTTAGATCTGTACATTACCAATAAACAATTGAAATAAAAATATAAAATTTATCATTTATCATAGTATTAAAGAAATCAGATATCCAGGAAGAAAGTTAATGCAAAAAAACAAAAGATGCAAGACCCCTGCCATGAAAACTATAGTTACCCTGAGAAAAACTGAGAGTGATATGATAGGATACTGTTCTCACTGATTGAAAAGATTGTAGTGTTAAGATGTCAGTCTCTAAGAAACATCTCTAAATTCAATGGAATCAATCACAAAACTTTTTTAAAAAAATTTACAAATGGAAATGGCAGTATGTACAGAACAAGATAATGTTGAAGAAAAATAAGATTGGTGAGCTTATACTTCCCAATTTCAAGATTTGCTCTAAAGCTGTAATAAATGAGACAGTGTGATACTAGAGCTAGGATAAACAGTAAAGAGTCCATAAATAGACCCAGATATATTTGATCTTTTTAACAGAAACATGAAGTGGCTGGGTGTGGTGGCACATAACTGTAATCCCAGCATTCAGGAGGCTGAGGCAAGAAAGAAAAGTTAATAGAAAAAACGTTATGTTAGAATTGGAGTACATATCTCTATAGCAAAAGACTTAGAGCATTAATGCCTTCATACCGTACACAACTTACTAAAAGTGGGTTATAAACCTATAGTGTGAAGAAGACGATTTTGTAGCTACAGAACCTTAATTTGGGGAAGGGGAAAGATATCTTAGAACACAAAAGCTATTAAATTTAAACTAATCTTATCAAAATTAGATACTCATCCAAAAAAATGAAAGGGTAAGCCAGGGCCTAAGAAAATAGTTGTGATGCATGTACTGTACTAACCGGCAGTCCATACTGCAAAGAGGAAAGAAGTTAAAAACCACTGTAACAAGCACCCACCGAAAGGGGAGCTTTGCACACTTACTAGCTGTCTAAATGTACTCTTAGCAAGGAAGTCATGAGAGAATGCAGGATGAAATGACACCACTGTACCCTGTCAAAATAGTGATAATGTGGAGCAGCTCCTAGAAACGTAAGGTAGCGTAATCATCTTGGGAAGCTGCCAGCTTTTAGAAAGGTAAGCGTGGCTCCTATGGACTCACTGCACTTCTACAGCTAAACCCAAGAGAAAAGAGACTACCCGATGGTGAAGTGTGGCATCCTGGGAATGCAGAATCGGTTAACATCTGAAAGTCAACCCATGTGCTCTATTACATAAAGACAAAGGGTCCATCAGTAGATAATCACAATAAAGAAAAGACATTGGACAAAAATCCAACACCTTTTCATGATAAAAAAAATTTTTTTTTTAACCCTAGGAATAGAAGGCAGCAGAGTCTGATATAGTAGTAAGAACCTGAACACCCTGTAGAGTCTTCCCTAAAAAATAAAGATAAAAGCTTCACCTTAGTAGACGACCCGGGGCCGCTGGATCTTGAACAGACCCAGAGCTCAGGCCCAGTGAGTAAGTGAGACGACCTGGGGCCCGGCGGGATCATGAACAAGACCCAGAACCCTGGCCCGGCGAGTGAGTGAGACGACCCAGGGCCCACAGATCCTCATTCGACCCAGGCTGCAGGCCCAGCACGGAACTCTTCAGCAGAACTCCCTGCAAAGATGCTAGAGGCAAGACCCACCCAGCTGATTCAGGAGCAGAACATCTTGCCAGAGAGACACAAAGAGTTCAACTCTAACACCTGCAACAGAAAGAAGAGTACAGCAGCCAGATCCAAACAACACCCACCTGGAGGAATCCGAACTTCATAGATCCGGACCTGGTGCTAAGGTAATAACTCTATCTAAGCTCTACACCAAAGGTCAGAAGACAGGTATACAAAATGACAAAGAAGGAACAAAATGCAGTCTCAGGCCCCGAGTCCACTCAGTACAACTGCAGAAGACACTAGCACTGA